GTGTGTGTAAATCATTTATTTTGTGTTCTGCAGAGTGACATAGAGGAAATATGTGATAAAAGAGACAAACAGGAAATGAAAGAAGAAAATCGATGATGTATGGAGTGACTGCTGACCGACCTTCACACGATCCCTTAAGTACACAGTGAGGAAATTGGCTGTGAGATAATCCCTCTCTTTCTTGCCAGCCAGCGAGTATGTGTGAGTGTGTGAGAGTTGGGGAGTGAGTAAGTTAATGAGTGAGTGTGAGTGAGTTAAAGAGTGAGAGAGAAAGAAGCATGGTAATCAACCTTGCACACTATCGTCACTACCACCCATCTTCAACACGGCCAGACTTCAATTCCACAATATTAAAAGAAACAATTATGTCGTCACGAAGTACTGAACTAACATTTGTGTCGGTCAGCCCCTTGTGTACGAGGATGGCCGGCCCAAGGGCCTCCAAGGCGTGAATTTGTTTAAGGTGTAGAAGCTGTCGCCAACACAACAACCACACCCTGAGTTAACGAGCTGCATGACCCAGGTTTAAGGGGTGTAGAAGCTGTCACCAACAATCACACCCTGAGTTAACGAGCTGCATGACCCAGGTTTAAGGGGTGTAGAAGCTCTCACCAACAACCACACCCTGAGTTAACGAGCTGCATGACCCAGTGTTTAAGGTGTAGAAGCTGTCGCCAACAACCACACCCTAAGTTAACGAGCTGCATGACCCAGAGTCAAGGAATAGTCCGAGAAGACCGGACAACTCGCCAACTGCACTGGCGAACCATTACCCCGGAACACGATCCACAAATCGACTAACATCCAGGTCCCCAATTACTGCTGGGTAGACAGAGGCAAATGGCGTAAAAAAAATTTGCCCATAGTTTCACCCTGCCCGAGGATCGAACCCAGGCCCGCTCTCTTGATTGGCGAGCATGCTGACCATTACACCACAGGTCGCCACATACATAAATACATACATACAGTGCATGCATGCATACATACATACCTACATACATACATACATACATACAGTACAGTACAGTACAGTACATAAATACATACATACATGCATACAGACACAGACAGACAGACAGACAGACAGACATACATATGAGGACCTCCTCTACATCACACTGCTTGGTGAGCTTTCTGGATTTTCTGCACAAAAACTTGCAGAAACGTAAGACATCACTGGCCGTTGCCCTTGTGGACTTCAGGAAGGCCTTTGACCTTGTTGATCACTGCACTGTTATCAACAAGGCTATTGCACTAGGGCTGCCCACCAACCTGGTCTCATGGTTCACTGATTTCTTGAGTGGACGTCGCCAGGCAGTGAGGTATCAGGGCTCGGTCTCCACATTCCAACACCTCACCGGCGGTGTTCCCCAGGGGACCAAGATGGGACCACTGTGCTTCCTCATCCTGATCAACGACGCTCTATCGGACACTCCTCACAGGTGGAAGTACGTGGATGACTGCACTGTGGGGGGTTTCAATGGACAACACCGCACCAGACTACTCATCGCTACAAGGCACCCTGGACAGACTACAGGCATGGACTACGGAGAACAAGGTCACCATCAACCACACCAAAACCGTAGTCATGCACATCAATACCGCCACCACTCCAGTGCAAGCCCCAGCAGTCACAGTGGGTGCCCATCCTCTCCAGCTGGTGCAGTCTGCCAAACTCCTGGGTGTAACTATAGACAACAAACTTGACTGGAAGGCCCATGTAAATAACACAGTCAAGGCAGCCTCGTACCGTCTCTACGAAGACTTAGGTCACTTGGGACACCCACGCCAGAGCTGAGGACCATCTACAACGCCTTTATTCTCCCCAAACTAACGCATGCGTCACCAGCCTGGTCGTCTTCTCTCAACTCCACCCAACAACGTCAGCTAGAGAAGGTACAGAAAAGGGCTTGCAGAATCATGCTCGGCGCAGAATACTCCGGCTACACCAACGCTCTGTCCACCCTGGAAATGCCATCCCTCAGTGACCTCCACCACCAAGCACTGGAAAGGTTTGGCCGTGGACTACTGCACCACCCTCGCCATCGCCACCTCCTGCCACCTGCAGCCCCCCACCAAACTCGCGCAGTCCGCCACTACAACAAAATTCAGCCCATAAGAGCCCGCACCGATAGATATAAGAACAGCACCATCCCATCTATTGTTCAAATAATAAACAACTCCTGATTTATGTACTGTACAGCCCTGTAAATGTATTGAACGTATATTATTATGTCTAAATCACATGTAAGTCTGTATATTTTCAGCCACCTCCTGCAACTCTATTAATAAACCGTTTATTATTATTATTATTTACATGCATACATACATACATACAGTACAGTACAATACATACATACATACATACATACATACATACATACATACATACAGTACAGTACAGTACAATACATACATACATACATACATACATACATACAGTACAGTACAGTACAATACATACATACATACATACATACATACATACATACATACATACAGTACAGTACAGTACAATACATACATACATACATACATACATACATACATACAACACTTAACAAACACTATAGAGGGAAAACAAAAGACAAGCAAGAGATTAATGACTAATAAGATAAACACAAAGATACTCTGGTAATGAGGAGCGGGAAGAGTAATTAGAGATTATTGATGAATAATTAACAAGAGGCAGTAAAGGGGTTATGAGTCTCGTTAATTTAGTGAATATTATTGTACTTAATGTAGTGAGTACCGTCTTCCCTAATGATGAGAAATGTTAAAGTATTTCAGTAACCTCATGTGTGTGTGTGTGTGTGTGTGTGTGTGTGTGTGTGTGTGTAGACGTTGAGTACAGTATAATCCCCAGCCATCACAAATCTTATTTTTTAAGTAATATTATTAACCAGGAGAAAATGTGAGGAGAGGCGAGAGATTTTAATGTTTTTTTTCTGATTGATCATTTATCAGAGGAGGAGGATGGTGATTTATTTCAAAGTAAATAAACCGAACAAGTAGACGCACCAGACACGTGAACTCCAACACAGTCTGTCCACCCTGTCAGTCTGAGGAAGTCATTACACAAGACCCTATAATTCACTCCAATAAAGCCCTATCGCTATTATTTTAGTTTTGGTCATCCGGAGAATCGGTTAGGTTAGGTTCGGTTATTTGGGATATCTAAATACTGGAGTGACCGAAACTAAAAAGTTACCGCCCTGTGAGCTTGAAAATCCATTTATATAATTTTTATCCTCTTCAGCATGTTAAAGGTGTTATAATACAGTAACTGCCGGTAGGGTCATTGACCTGCGCCCTGCCTTGTAACACTAATAAATGACTGGCGGATTAAAAAAAAAATCCACTGATATTTTAACACACCGCTACACACTGTTACATCCTGTTACACCCTGTTACACCCCGTTACTCATACTTGTGGAAAAAGTTGAGTGTCTTTTATTACGACGTTTTAACAGTCGCTTCTGACCTATACTGAGCAGACCTAACAATTAAGCATCCGAGCCAGTTCATGCCCAGTATCTGCCAGAGACGTGACCGACCGCCCAAGCGGCTAACGAGCCGATCTGTGGTGAAGAGGATAAAAGTAAAAGTTTACCTCAATGTAATACTTTTAACACAAACTATGATTATTAAGTGCATGTTTTGCTTGAGCTGTTTTTTTTCAATTTAATTTTTCCACTTCCACCATTACAGCTTATATTGCTTCACAAAATAAACAAAAACTTTCCAGCTTCACTCATCCAACAGTCTCAGTAGACACTAGTGGACGCAGCCCTGTGTGTCCATAAACTAACAAGCTTCAGGAACATAGCCCCTTCTTTACAAGTTAGTACTACCTTAATACATTTTCTGAAAGTCAATTTTTACATTAAAATCATTATATATAATTGTTTTTATTAAGATACTTTAATAATAATTTAAATTCCCATCTACGGTAGGAAAAGTTAGGTCAGGTTATCAAAGTTTTTATTTTATTTAATATTATTTTTTTAGTATTTTACCTCACATTTTCCCTCGACTTAAAGCCCCAGCCACTTTACAAAACAACTCTTCATTACAAAAAAAAATACAAATAATACATAAACACCCTGCAAACATTTACCCAAGGATGTAACCAAAAGATATTGAACTATAAGTTATCCAATACAACAATAAATCATACAGTACCAACCTTTACTGTGGAGAAGAGATTTATCATGTGTTTCAGTGTCACTAATCCTCAAGACAACTGGTAGACCACAACACAATAATTCATATCTTACATTTCCAACTTTTTCTCTTCACTACTAAAATGTTGTCCACACATAACTGTATTCTTCACATTAATTAAGTCTGCTCTACGGTAACATTCACCATAATACACCATTATTCACTGAGTTATGTCCACCACTGTTAACACAAGGGGTCATAATAATGTGACGTGAAACAATTTAATTATTTTTCATCATATTTGACCTTCATAAGTCTAGTATGTAATATATTGTAAGTACTTTAGCTAAATAAGTTATATTTATGATATATAATTCAAATTAATCAGTCATAAATTAAGGATATTATATTATATTTATATCTCGCTATCTTCAATGTATTTAAATTAATGTTAAAATCATATTACGGATAATAAAAATGATTTACAATAATAATTCAATAATAATGATTTAAGTAATAATAAAAATAATAATAATAATATAATTATAATATTTATTCAGTACAATTATCATGCTAAATGTGGTTTAACATGTACTGTACTTTATATAGACAATGGAGGTATTAAGCTCGGGATTAGTTACTTCTTATTATGTCTACAGAAGTAATAGTAAAAGTTTTAAAGAAATATAACAAATATTATATTATACTTGATCAATACGAGACTGACAGATCACTTCAACAATACAATAATTCTGTGGTTATTGACATAGAAACTAACTCTCTTCTCATGTTATAACTTTATATTTAAGACATGAACTTAATTACCCCTGACCTGGTGATTCAAACATACTTAACTGTTCACATATATAAATAAAGTAGGTTAGTGTGAGGTTGGTAGTGGTTCACACAGTCAGCTGATGGTACGGCTGGCAGTCAGGTCCTGAGGCACCAACACTCACTAACTTAACTAACAACATGGTAAGATATCTGGATCTATGTTTATTTTGTTATAATAATATATGTTTACAGGGATATAATCCGTAATTAAACAAAATATAGAACAAATGAAGGTGATTTGGCATCAGCTCATAGACCACCGAGTAGTGAGGAGTATTAACAATGTTTTTATTTTTTATTTTCGTCTTTAATAATTTGTCTTAGTGTTTTTTTTATTATTATTTTATATCCCAAGAAACGGGTTAAGAAGAGGTGACGAAACGGGTTGAAAACTATGTTGATGAAACAGGTTGGTGACGAAATGGGCAGACCCCGTTTGCATCAATTGTGTGTTCCTAATTATTATACAATATGTTAATTATGGCTTTGACAAAAAGTCTGAAGAAAACTTTGTCTTACCATATTTTTTGGAGAACCTTTTGTAATAGTTAAGGACGATGACCCGGGCTATCCAGTCGCCTAAAGTAGTCCGTACAGAAGAAAACTTGTCATTACCTCAAGGATATCCAACACCAGGTGGATATCTTTCTTAAATTGGTCTTATCGTTTTGGTCATCCAGCGAAGTTGAATTAGGTTAAGTTAAGTCAGGTTAAGTTAGGCTAGGTTGAACTAACTAACTTAAATTCCAAAGATTCTTCAGAGAACCCAAACTAATATATTACCAGCTTGGTTGGTGTACCTGAGCCACATTAAATCATCACTGTCGGAGAAGCTTCTGTTACGTTAGGTCTGAAACACAGCACAAGTAAAGCGCCGACCTTATAATACAACAAATGCTGTAGTTCCTTGATGTTTGTTGGTACAGTAAGTATTGTTATTGTTTTTTATTAATGTAAGTTCTTGATAGTTTTTGTGTTTATTTAACGGAAGCAATAATGTGTATGAAGCATCAGTTGTCTCTTGGTGTACAGTACAGTAAACACGTCATGGTGGCATCCCTGGTAGCCCCCATCGTCAACGCTGTACATAAATGATCGAGATGAAAACGTGAGAAATAAACAATTAGTATACAGTATTTACAATTCCTCCACTGTTTTATTAGTATTCAAAAGGTAAGAAAGAAGTTTTCTTCAATAGAAAATGTTTGTCAATTTGTTCTTTTTCGTGAGTTGGTTTCATAAAGTATTACCTGCTCTGGGAGTGGTAGGTTAGGTGGGTTTTGTTGGTGTATCTTATGCAGTAAATCATAATACAGTATAATATAATACAGTAAAAGTCCAAAAATCCGGATGCCAAAAATCCGGACCACCCGAGAATCCGGACTTTTGGAAAACTAATTATTTTATTTTTATTTTTTTTTTAGCGGGCTTTTGTGTGTATGTGCGCATGCGTGAGCGCCACAGCTGCACAGCGACAACAAGCGACCACGTGGTCTCCACTTTAAAACGAGCAATCAAACTGTGACAACATACCGTATGTACTCATCTATAACCCCCCCCCCCCTCGTTTATCTGTCGACCCTGATTTTTTGACCAAGAAATCGTTAATTTATGATATTCCTCGTTTATAGTTCGACCCACGTTTTTGAGGGTAACAACAAAACCTTCAGTAAAAACGCTCTACGTCCTATAAACTGAAACACGAGTGCCGAAGGCAAATTGTTTACCATTTATTATTACAACACTTTACACTGAAACGCGGGTAGTTTCAACAAAAATATTGTATATTTCCATTCAAGTATTTATTCAAGTCAATTAGGAGGGAATATTATTGTAATACAACAGTTTTTTAACTAAACCATTCGAAAAGCGATTACGGTAACATCTTTTGAACGAAAGAAAGCGAAAGTCATTGTTTTCGTCACGATTTTATCCCACTTTCCACTTTAATACGTACGTAATTTCAGCAAAAATATTACATTTCCGTGAATGCATTATATCAAGCACAGTATGAATAGAACAATATTTTGAGTCCTACTCTTTCCATTTACAGATTACTGTACAAGCCCATAATAATGGCTCCTAAAGTAGATAAACTTCGTTGTGTGAAGAGAAAGAAGAACACGTTGAAATTGAGTGACAAACTTGAAATAATTAAGAAACTAGTACGTGGTGTGAGCAATACTGTTCTAATGGAAACATACGACATTGGAAAGTCTACAATTTATGATATCAAAAAGGCAAAGAATAAAATTCTAGAATTCACAGCTTTTTCATTAAAACTGCTCGTTTTGATAAATGAAGCATGCTATATTTGCTAATGAATAAACTATCAAAATGTACCTGTTCATCTCTTCTTTATTCCTCCTTAAATTTTAATTTTAAAAGTACTGCCTGAGAATCCGGAAAATCCGAAAATCCGGACCGACCCAATCCCCAAGCAGTCCGGATTGTTGGACTTGTACTGTAATAACATAAACTCCAAGTGTTTGTGTGTACAGTATAGACAAGGTGATGATGGTGCTCAGGCAGGCCGCTGTGTTGCCAAACTAATTAACCACTGAAGTTGCAAGTCATATTATTATTTGTTCTTTTATTGTTATATTATTATTATTAAAGTAAGAAAGAATAATTTATAGGGTGTTGTTGCTGTTGTTTGTGTATATGTGTGAAGCAGAATAGTGCTACTGATGTGTACAGTATAAAACGTTTAGACTCCTGCTGCTGCTCCTCCTGCTGCTGCTGCTGCTGCTCCTGCTGCTGCTCCTCCTGCTGCTGTTGCTGCTCCTCCTGCTGCTCACATAAACAAGATGACAGCCTCAAGAGGGTGGACGGCAGCTTCTTTTGTTCTCAGAAGTTTGCTACAACTCTGGTCTAGCTGCCAATTTACTTTTGCTAGAGAACTGGGTACTGTGCGCCTCAGCTGTGTAAACATAGGCAGCATAATGTGCACATATTGTACAGTTTAGTGGTGTGCTATGTGCGGCACAGGTTACCAGTGGTGGAGGAGCGATGATGAGATAAAGTTATGTTTTAAATCTTCATAGGAAGGGTGACAGTTGTGGAGGTTAAGACGCTTAGTGTTTGTTGGTTTATAAACACATGTGAACTAACACTCTTGTTGTTATATACTGTGTGTGTTCTGTAACAGTTTTGATGAAGACAAACTATTGTAATGTACTGTAGCTGCCCTGGGAAGTGACATACTGCATAAAAAAAGTTCAATTTGCAAATGTGGAAGTTTTTCATATTTGGCGGTAAGTATTATTAGTACGGTTCCGTAAAAGTAAAGAATCGGTATCATCAAGTAATTGTACTTATAGTTTTTTCTTTTACAGAATTCCTTCGACAGTTTGTTCAACCACCGGAAGTATCGCAACTTCTTCATCTCATTTTTAATTGTCCTTGTGCTGGCCGTCATACTTGTAGGCTCTGTACAGGTGAGAGCTGCTTGTCTTGTGTTAGGTTCTTATGTCAGCAGGTTTTGTAATATTGTAGTGTAGTGTAGTGCAGTGTAGTGTAGTGTAGTGTAGTGCAGTGTAGTGTAAACATAACTTTATCATTTGAACATTACTAGGGGTAGTAGCTACAGATTACTGCATTGTATTTGTAACCTGGCCAGAGTCAAGAGCCTACTGAATAATGTACAAACCTGTGACTTAAGAACTATTTGTCTATATGTTGCTGTGATTATTACGGTCATCTGTGAATTTTTATTGTCCAGTGAGATGATGGTGAGCATTAGTACCATCTTGTGGCAAGTGTTTGTATATTACAGTTCACTTGTTCTGTCATCTTACTGAGGCAGTGAGAGGAGGGAGCATTAAGTGAGTGTTACGGTGATAAACACAGAAGTAGTGATTGTAATGAGGATGTTTAGCTAATCATTGAATTAATCCCAGCTGCCGGTGTCTAGGCTGGGTCACACACCTGCTGGTAATATACTGTGTATCAGTCATCCTTTATTTACCTTAATTATATAGATAGTAGTTCTTTCAGGTAATTTGTGATAGTATTGTACTACATTAATTACAGTAATCCCTTGCCAACTATGAGAGAATTATAGGACATAACCCCACAGTTGTCGAGGGATTACTGTCCAACTATGAGTTTGTTTATCCTCTTCTTTGTTGTTGCAGTTGTTGAGTGTGGGGTTCACCTCAGGGCACCAGGATGCTCGCCTCAGCTTGGAAGCTTCTAGTCATTGGCAGGAGCTGGTGGTAGCTGGGGATAGTGCTCCCATCCCGACTAAGACCAGAAATGACTGCCACTACTTCAACTGTTTCAATGTGTATCGTTGTGGCCGCAGCGGGAACCAGCGCATGTCTGTGTGAGTTTACTTCCTGTGCTCATTACTGTTAATTATATATTGTATATGAACACCTGTACAGTATATACCTGATGCACTGGTGATATTGCTTCACTCTCAGAATGTATTAACCAAGATGTCAACGGTGAATAACTATGTTCCACCATTTTTGGTTCTTACCTTTTTCATGAACTTGGTTGTTGTTAAGACCCATCACAAGTTTTTTGGGGTGATCCTACACACATGAAAAGGTTCTCTTGGTGTAAAGTGGGAAGGCCTCTCTCTTCTCAAGTACAATTCATGTAAATCTGAATACAGTTATTGGAGTTTTGTGACTATTAGTATAAAATTATTTCTTCTATGACTAGCTGTGTGACTCAGTGTGCACAAAACTGGGGCAACAACATTATGTAACACAGATTGTTATGTAGTTTTCTTTGGGTATTTTACTGAATAAGATCTTGCCTCCAGTTTGTTTAGCAGCTGCCATGAGAAGGAATTATTGTTGTACATATAATGATATATAATTTAAGATTAAAAATATACATAAGTATTTAATACTTTTGTGTTTTAACTTGTATTTTTCCTTACCAGCATTACGATGGTTAAATATTACACTGTTTACTGAAAATACAAATGTAATCTTAGCTTGTAGTGCCTAAGGTATCAATCTATACAACACTAAGACATTACTGTTCTCCCTTTCATGAATTTATTCCCCGTACTGTCCCAACATAGACCTCATGGCTTAACTTTGTATACATAATGAAGTAATGTTTCAGTGTGGAGGTCAGGGATTCACTTACTGTACAGTGTGTGTGTGTGTGTGAGTGAGTGAGTGAGTGAGTGAGTGAGTTTGTTGGTTAGTAAGTTAATGTACCTTGCTGTTTTAGCTCTTTTTTTTTTTTGTCACTTTCTACACATCTTCCCCCGACCATAACCCCCCGTTCATGAGGTAACTGTATCCCTTTATTAACCTTCCACAATAGTCTACAAGGGGTAAAGGCAATTGATGGATGGTGTCACTTACGCTGATGCCTCACTCGCCAGGTATGTGTACCCCGTGGCTCGCTACGTGGACGAGGACCACGTGGCCATCAAGCCAATGTCTCGTGAGTTCTTTGAGGTTATTGACACCATCCTGAACTCTGAGTACTACACCCCCAACCCAGAGGATGCCTGTATTCTTGTTCCTCCAATAGACACACTCAACGAGAACAACCTGAGGAAGGACAAGATAGCTGAGGCTCTGGCCATGCTTCCTCAGTAAGTCTTGCTCTTCTTTTATTAAGTAGTACAGTAATATAACTCTTCCTCCAGTACCTTTGTGACAACACTTGAATGCTCTGTTATCGTACAGTACTTGTTCCTGCTCTGATGTAATAGTCACCAGACCATTTAATAGGAAACTGTCTTATTATTAGTTGTCACCATTTGCATATTTTTTTTTCTTAAAAAATATCAGAACTTTTGCTGTTAATTTTCATCAAATTCATCAGTGATTACTTAGTTAATAATGAGTACTGTTATTAATCACAATACCAGAGAGACTTTGTTTAATGAAGTGACAGTTGTTATAGGTTAAGTTAAATGTGATGTACAACAAATAATATGTAGTAAACATAAGAGACGAACAAGACCTTTCATAACATTTCACAGTTGGTCCGAAGGTGAAAACCATCTACTGTTCAACATGTTGCCGGGAACTCCCCCAGTATTTGACACAACACTCAACCTGGCACGAGGGAAGGCGCTCGTTGCCGGTGGAGGCTTTTCCTCGCTCACCTACCGCCGGGGATATGACATATCTCTGCCCGTGTACAATCCAGCTCATCAGAATTCTCCCGTGGGAAGAAAACCAATGTAAGTCAGATCAGACGTGGAAAGCTAACACCGCTAAACCCATTTATTATTGAAGACTAAACTGGTGGCACTGCACTGGCATATAACAACAACCAGTGTCTCAGTTTCAATTTATATTAAAAATTTTATTCTTTATGCCACTCACATTTGTGCCGGTAACTCCTTCACTATTGGAGGTCACTTTAATATTTTACTCAACAGAGAGAGAGAGAGAGAGAGAGATAGATCCATCATACCTAAGGAGTAAATTGGCACTAATGTCTCAGAGTTGCTTATATGATACTTCATCCACCAGTGTGATCAAAAGGACTTATTATCTGTCTATCCATTTATTCATACTCACTCTTGAAGCTAAATTATTTCTCCAGAAGAAATTTCAAGTTTTAGTATAAATAAATGAATATATTTTTGTGTATCATAGTACAGTATTATATGTGTGTGTGTCTCAGCAAACTTATGGTTGATCGACTCACCAACAGAGGTTCCCGGCGCTGGTTCGTGGTGTCATCACAGGTCAACATCCACCGTGACTACCGTGAGGACCTGGAGGCACAGCTTCTGGACAAAAAGTTACAGCGTGATGACTTACTCATTTTGGACAAGTGTCATCCCTACACTAACCTCACTGTCAGGTGCCACGGCTCTCAGGTGTTCTCTTACCCACAGGTGTTGAGGGTAAGATACTGTAATTACTGTACAAGATGCATAAAGGTGCGAGGATACAGTAGGCCTGGTGGGAGTATAAAAGTTAAAGATTATGTGAAAGTAATGAGCAATAAGTAAGATGGTTGACTGAAGATGATCAACAGAACAAAGAGTTGAGTAGTGAACCCTGGAGGAGATGGAACAACTTTCACTAACATAACATAACATGACTGTGGTGTTGTAGCAAAGTAAAGTATGTTGACTTAAGTTACTGATTGAAGAAGTATAGAGATGGATGGTAAAAAGGATTGTGGTCATTAATATTAAAAAGAGGTCAGAAGAAGGTTGAGTTAGAGGTAGGAACATGAAAGTGAATGTGAAGTAATGTACAGTTGTTAGATATAGAAGAGTGACACCTGTTTGTTATTATCTCTTGCTGCCAGTCGACCAATCATAACACTGGTATATCCTCATGGCTGAGTTTGGACCAATTAGCTGTAACTATATAGGCGGAACAGTCGTCTACAGTGAAGAAAATTCTGTCTTCTTTATTAATGATCAATACGTGAGGCTTTTTTCAGGAAGCCAAGTTTTGTTTGATTATTCGTGGAGGCCGCCTGGGTCAGAGTGCCTTTTATGATGCCATGCGTGCTGGCTGTGTCCCTGTGGTTGTGGCTGATGGATATGTGCTGCCATTTTCTGAGGTAAACTACACTTCATCCTTGTTGGTCTGTCACTAACCCTTTCTTAGTTTTTTTCTTCTCTTTTAACAACAGTATTACAGATGAGAAGTATTTCAATTGTTCTGTATGCAGTATATTTATTGTGTATATTAATACATTGATGTCTATATAACCAAAGTATATAAGTTGGTTACGTTCCCTTTAGGTGATAGACTGGCGGGAGGCAACGGTTCAGGTGTTTGAAGAGGACTTACCAACGATGATGGAGATGCTGAAGAAGGATGTGTCTCAAGAAAGACTCAGCCACATGCAACAACAGGTGAGGTGTACACTATGTGCTCACACCAGCCATGTAAAACAGGTGTGAGGTGTACACTATGTGCTCACACCAGCCATGTAAAACAGGTGTGAGGTGTACACTATGTGCTCACACCAGCCATGTAAAACAGCACTATGTCAGCCATGTAAAACAGGTGTGAGGTGTACACTATGTGCTCACACCAGCCATGTAAAACAGGTGTGAGGTGTACACTATGTGCTCACACCAGCCATGTAAAACAGGTGCTATAATGTTAGTTGTTAGTCTGTACCAGTGGCCCTTCATCACCTTCAGGAACTGTTATACATCAGATGGTACATGTGGTGTTACTCAGGCTGGTGATGTGCAGTACAGTTCATTTAGGTTAGGTTAGGGATTAACTGTATATTCCTGTTATTATATGAATGTAGAGGAATGTTTTATCCTATTGAGTGACGTTCTGCAGGTGTTGTGGTTATATGAAAGGTACTTCTCAACAATGAAAGACATCACCTTGACAACACTGAAGGTCCTCAATGACCGAGTGTTCCCGGCTCACCAGCAGTCGGTGCAGCAGTGGAACACCCACCTCGTGCCCTCCGCCGTAGACAACCCTCTCTTCCTGCCCATCACGGCCCCGGCTAATGAAGGGTTCACGGCAGTTATTCTCACCTACGATCGTCTGGAGTCGCTGTTTCAGGTATTTACTCATGATATCATTCAGGTTTATTTTGTAATTTAGTGTATGTTCAGCTGTGGATATATGATTTTCCTGTGTCAGTTGGTGAGAGATAGAGTATGTGAGAAACAAAATGCTGTTGCCCTTTATAACATATTGTACTGTACTGATGGCAGGCTTGACGGTTCAGTGGTTGACCATTTACATCATTATTGCTGGGGCATGTTTGAAAGATTGGCAGTAGGTTGTGTTTGTAGCTAAGAGAATGAATTGAATGTGATATTTTCTTTATTTCTGTTTTGTTCACATCCAATTATTGTGTGAATCATAATATTTATCACATGTTTGTTCACTTTGATATCTTGAGTGCAGAGTTATCAAGCCATAACATATATACTGTACTGTAGGTGGTCTTCACTCTCTTGGCCTTGGTGATGCAAGCGTGGAAAATGGTCGTCAAACAATAATGACGATGATAGCGAGTACCGATATTTTCGTTTCTTCCGCCTGTCTGAGGCTGACCAGAATCAACAACAATAAACTCACTCACCGATGGGTCGAGTCTGTCATGTATGTCTTACTTGCAGGTGATTCAGACAATGGTGCAGGTGCCCTCACTGTCTAAGGTGCTCGTTGTGTGGAATAACCAGAAGAAAGCTCCTCCACAAGGTTAGTCCTCACCTCAAGGTTGATGTTTTGTGTTTCTCTTGAGTTGAGAATTTATTGTTCTGACAGTGTTGTGGAACTGTCCTCTGGTGGAGTGTTTCAGTAGGTGTTGGTGTAGGATAAAGGCTTTTACCTCCTGTGTCATATAAGTTGCTGGAAAGGAGAATCAGTGAGGTTAATTACTGGTAAGAATAACAGGTACAAAGTCTTGTGGATGGGGTTTGAGTCAGGGTCAGGTGGTGTTGGGATCTTGATTGGTGAAGTGGGTGGAGAAAAGGCAGAGCTGGAGGTGAAAAGGTCAAGGAATGTGGTATTGAAGCTGGTGGCAGGCAAGAATCTGGTGAGTGTTGGGAGGAAGAAAAGGACAACTTGTGGGCTGAGATACTGTGTGACAAATGGCCAAAGGTTAGTGTTAATGATGATGGCAGAATAAAGGTTATCATGTCAGGTACTATAGGATGTCAAACATATACAGTGGAAAGATGAGTGTCAAATGTTACAAGTTTCCTCAACTGGCCGGCACAGTTCAGGATGTCGGGCACAATATCATTAATGACCTTTCACATCAAACCCACATTACATAAGGTTCTGAGTCATCAGCTAAAACTCTGTATAACCAACACCTGTACCTAGACTAGGAGAGTGTGATGGTGGAGGAGTGTTTGTTCTTCACCTCAGGGTGGCCAAACAGCCTTGTCCCACCATCTTGCTCTGTGGGGGCCAGGTCAAGTCATCAGGGTGGTCAGAATAAGGATTAGTGACTTTGTCTTACCAGTCAAGGGAGCATTTGGAAATGCAACATATAATACCCACTTCCCACTAAGGAGAAGTGTGTTAGTGATAGGAAGGGCATCTAACATTGTTTACCTTAATAAAGGAATCTTATTTTCCTCTTGTTTTCCAGCCTCCATGTGGCCCAAGATAAATGTGCCGCTAAAGGTGGTTCAAACACGAGAAAATAAGCTGAGTAACCGCTTCTACCCTTATGAAGAGATTGAGACTGAGTGCATCCTTGCCATAGACGACGACATTAACATGATGACAGCAGATGAATTAGAGTTTGGTTACCAGGTATGACTTAGTAAACACTCATTAACTCCCCCATAAAACACTCATTAACTCCCCCATAAAACACTCATTAACTCCCCCATAAAACACTCATTAACTCCCCCATAATATTCCCTGTACTGTACTATAGTATATAAGTCCGGTCAGTAATGTCTGATGATCTGCTTACTTTCAGGTTATTACTAGAGTTATTTATCTATACAGAGGCCACACTGTGTACACACTTCACTAAACACACTCATTATGGGCACCTCACACTGACCAGCTCCTCTCTCACTCACCCTCCACCCTCACACTGGACACAAGAATGGGACCCATAATTTTCTCACAATATTACTGTATATCATTCTAGGTATTTTAATTTTCTTGCCTAAACACTCTTGTTCTTCCTTCACAGGTTTTAACTTTTATTATTAACATTTCCAAAGACATGTATTTTGAACAGTGTAACTCATCAACTAAATCAGGACCAGTTTACAGAGGTCATTTTTAATATCATCATTATAAGTATAGTACAGTGGCTACGGTAAAGGTTAGCATTGTTTTTAATAAAGAAACTGGATATTATTTCTTGTTTTCATGTCTTGACTAATTTTTCTCCCTGTAGGTCTGGCGTGAGTTTCCCGACCGCATTGTTGGGTTTCCACCACGAAATGTTTTATGGAACAACGACTCCCACAGCTGGAAGTACGACTCAGAGTGGACTAATGAGGTACAGTGAGGGAGTATCATCTTTGTCTCTCCCTCTGTCCTTCACCATGAGGGGAGGAGGGCACAACAGAGACTTACTGGGGAAATACATCATCCCAGATTGCTCCAGTCCCTCTGTACTCTACTGAAATATTTGTCCTACATTTTATATTCCTCCACTTACTCTGTTTAACATATTGGGTGCCTATGTATTATTGCATACCTGTACTGTCTGTCCTCTGTTGATTCTCTGGATGGTGATGTAATGATAACAGACATCCTTACTTGTGTCTTCTTTAATACAGTAACTAGGAGTACATCTTGACTAGGTGTACTTTGTGGACATATTTAACATGTTATTGTCCATAGTCTTGAGAGGGTCACTTAGCCATCCTTAGCATCATGTGAGAGTAATTCTTTATCTTCCTCCACATGACCAACTACCTCAGGGTGTCTACCAGGGTATTTCTATTCACTTACTACAGCGCTCATTGTTGGGTCATCATCCCACCTGTACTGTATGGGACAGGGAGTGGAGTAAGAGAGACAGAGATACAGAAGTAAGCACTAAACAGACAAAAATATATTGTTATCACAGGTACAGTATATAATATTTTGTTTACTATACTTTATTATTAACTACTTGTATGTGTGTATTAAATGATGTACTTATTGCAGGTGTCGATGGTGTTGACAGGTGTAGCATTCTACCACAAGTACTGGTCCTACGTGTACACCACCCAGCTCCCGGGCAACATCAAGGAATGGGTCGACACCAACATGAACTGTGAAGATATTGCCATGAATTTCCTTGTGGCTAATCTGACAGGAAAGGCTCCCATTAAGGTAGGCATTTTGTTTACACTAATACAGGTGGTGATAATTATCTCCATCCATATATTATGTTTTTTATGTTTGTTTGACATCATAGGATTATCAGTTGCCTTTAATAATATTCTCTTAACTTGCTTGGGATTTCATAGATGCCATCAACCAGCAAACACTGAAAATGTTGATGAATGAGTCATTAATCCTGGATGAATAAATTACAGTACAGGTTAGAATTATCTGTAAAAAAACTTCCCAATGAATATATTTGGTCTGAAGGATAAAGCTGTATGGTTGTCCCTCAGTCACACACCAGAAGGGTCATAGTTGTGGACCAGTTAGCTCTTAGCTTCTGGGTACTTCTTGACCTCTGCTGAGTCTCGTCTCCACATTTACTCTGCTCGGGTCTTAGTAACACTGGTTGGTTTGGCTTAAGGTTCAGAAGGATTATAAACTCCAGTTATGAGGATATATTGTGTTTTATATATTGGATTAAGTATTTCACTCGAGCCATGACCTGTCATCACTTCTCATGACAGTTAGTTTGGTGATGTTTTTGGAGCATCATCCCAGAGTCAGTAACATTAGTTCCTGGGTCGTATCTGTATCATTCCTTTTTATAACATGATAGCTCAGTTCAGTACACTCATCGTGTTAAGGAGTTGTTGAGGAAATACCACCAGGCTGAGTTGGTTATTTTTCAACTCATATTCTTTGGTATATAAACATAACTTTCTTCATATTATTTTCATTCAGTCTCATGTACAGTATACACATCCGACATACAGAATGTGGAAAACAAATTTATACAAATTCTCAAGGTCAAAAACATAAGTGGAATAGTGGAATAAACATTTCTTTGTGTGTGAGAGAGAGAGAGAGGTTGCGGGTCAGCAGAGGCGGCTGGGCTGGTTCCTTTGATGCCGCTTGAGGGCGGCCACGCATGGAGCAGCCAGCATCTATGCAAATGGTGCCACTGGTGACTGTGTTGATTTATCTTTACTTTTAATAGTTTCAGCTACTGTACATATTTTCATTTAGACAGTATTTTATTAATGTGTTAGGTAATAAATTACAGTAGCTGTGTACCATTTATCGTTAGATGGGTAGGTGTTTTTTGTGAATCTATTTTGTGTTTTGGGAGGTATGATAGTGGGGTATTTTTGTCATTGGAGAACCAAACTTTATTTTTCCCAGATGTTTTTCTCTTCGAGATATGAAGATTCACCCAACAAATGTTGTTTTATAAACCTAACCCTTCCATATGTCGAGGGATAAGAGTAGTGTTTGGTCATAAAGTTAACAGTTGAATTAGTTACACCTGTACCAGAACAACAGTTGATTTATGTTAAACTCTTTATATTTTCTGTGGTTCAGGTCACACCAAGAAAGAAGTTCAAGTGTGGTGAATGTACAAGTGGGGATCTGTCGGCCAACGAGGCCCACATGGTGGAGCGCTCTCAGTGTGTCACTCACTTCACTCAGGTGTTCGGGACGATGCCTCTCAAGACCGTGGAGTTCCGGGCCGATCCCGTTCTCTTTATGGACAACTTCCCGGAGAAGCTCAAGTTATACGATGATATGGGGAGCTTGTAACACACTTGTTGTCTATGACACTGTGCTGGCCAAGTGAACCACATCTCATTATTATCTTTGTTGAAGTAATGATGTGAGAGATGAAGGTCTTATAGGAGCTGTTTATCACTAACTTGCCACAACTTTACAAGACTTACTAACAAATGTTTGACCAGCCATTGTGTTGATTCTCTTCTGGATAAGATTTATTTAAGATATTTACTTGAATAATTTTGTGGATGAACTACAGTCACCAGGACAGCCTTTGACATGATAAGTTTGGGGTCAGTAAAGGATTAATTATATATATTTATGACCTCTATTATTATAACTGTACTTCTCTCTGGGGACATTGACTGAACATTACTCTATCCACTGTCATTCTTTGCTCTAATCCACAAAAGTCACGTCAAGTATTGTCATCTCTCACTCAATCAAAGTGTGAGGGAAGCAGGAGAAGGTGCTGAGAGGATACCATACAGTGAAGCATCTATTTAACAGTACAGTACAGTCCATTATATCAAGGTTCAGGAGATGTAATACCTCCATATAGCAGACTGTACCTGTTAGATAGAGTTAAATAAAGTTTTTACTGTATGTACTTAAACTTACTTAAATCATCTAGGGATATGAAATGTGTATCAGATAATAATGATTTAAGATGGTGATTCAGGTGTGTGTGTGTGTGTGTGTGTGTGTGCACACGTGCGTAGTGTGTGTGAGTGCATGTGCATGTGTGTGCGTGTGTGTGTGTGTGTGTGTGTGTGTGTGTGTGTGTGTGTGTGTGTGTGTGTGTGTGTGTGTGTGTGTGTTGTGTGTTCTATCTTGAGACTGGAAGAAGTGTTCTATCTTGAGACTGAAGGAAGTGTTCTATCTTGAGACTGAAGTAAGTGTTCTATCTTGAGACTGAAGGAAGTGTTCTATCTTGAGACTGAAGGAAGTGTTCTATCTTGAGACTGAAGTAAGTGTTCTATCTTGAGACTGGAGGAAGTGTTCTATCTTGAGACTGAAGGAAGTGTTCTATCTTGAGACTGAAGGAAGTGTTCTATCTTGAGACTGAAGGAAGTGTTCTATCTTGAGACTGAAGGAATTGCAGAACTATAATAGATAAAGTGATGTATAGTTGTTAGGGAAATGAAGGACAGTAAGGAATGTTAGTGAGGCCGTACAAACTTATAGAAAACATTTTTAGCCAGAGAATGTGAGTGTGGTAGTGTGACAGGTGTGTGAAGAGACGTAGAGTGAGTTAGTGTGAGACTATTAGGGTGTTTTTGTGTGAAGATACTGCCAGTGTAGAGGACTGCCCGGAGATACTTACACAAGCCTCAGTTTGGTATCCCAGCCATGACATTTGATCACAGTTTTGTGGTGACTACCTGAAGATTAGCAGGAAAACCTTTTTTAATGTAAGTAGATTAATAAATGCAAGGTGTCCAGAATGAATATTATATATATTAAACTTTATCAACTGATTAAAGTGTCGTGTGCATATAAACATGAAATATTTTACCTTGTGCTGTACTTATAAAATGTGTAACTCTCTAAGTTTTTTTTATTGGTTGGTCTTAATGTGTTGAGGAATTTATCAATGTATGGATCCCAGGCTGGTGGACTGAGAGAGATGGTCTCATTCCTTATTCACAAAATATCATTCCCTTTTATCATGTTCTGCAGTGGGAACATCAAAGACTTTAAACACCTTCACTACAGGGACACAACTTATCATATTTTATTTGGCTAACGTCAGATGATTTTCTTCAGCACAGAGGAACACCAGTACACAGGGGGGTTAAATATTCTTCCTGACTCACTCTAACTTGAGGACTAAATAGGAAACAGCCTTGACTTACTCCAGCATTGGGAGGCAGAGGTGGAATAATACACAGACATTGTCAAAGCTACAAATGGTACATCTGGTGAAGGTTCCTAACTGGAGAGAAATAACGCAATGTTTCTCTTTAGTCAAGCAGATGTTTTCATTAATCAACATACAGAACACTTTGTCTTCATTCATCATGGACATCTTGTGTTATCATTTAGTGTATTTTTGACCTCATATAATACACACATTTTTTTTTTTTTTTTTTGGTGTTTTGAGAAAAAATATGTAATGAATATATTGTCTTTTGTTCTCATTGATTATTTGTTTGTTTTTTGTTGCTGTTGTTTGGGTAATATTTGTAAACATACTTCCTTAGCTTGAGTTAAAACAAGGTGATATACATTGAATTGCTTGACAGTCTCTAAAGCTGCTGTACCTAAAATGATCTGAAATGTGGAGAGCTGTGAGGGAGTGAGTGTGTGTTCAGCTGAGAGAAGTTGACTGAAAATGTTTTATTCTGCTCAGCGATATATGGGAGAAATATATATATACACTATACCTTCTTTTTGTTGTCATGTGTTTTATAAAGCTCTGGAAATTTTGTGTTGTGTTGGGATAGTTTTAGGGAAATATGTACAGTACTATTATATATAAAAGATACCGTAGGGGAATATATACTGTACTGTCATCCTCTCAAAGGTACATAATAGAATCACTTGTGTTATATTATAATCCATATACTGTACTGTCGCAGTTATACTGTGTGGAGTCAGAGAACAGTGTGCCATAAACTATAATTTTATAATGTATATTTTTATGAAGTAGTTTTCTATATGTGTGTAAGCCGTGTGTTAATTTGTAGGTGACGTATAATATTCACCGTTCCATATTTTGTGATGCAGTCCGGTACAGCAGACCTCGTTATCCGAGTATTCATTATTCGTGGACCCACAGTTACGAGCCCAAATTATTGTAGAACGGTATGTAAAAATGACCTTAACTTACGATGATTACACAAATGATTTCCCTCAGTCAAGAGCATAAGTATTTGAAATTCTCGCCTGCCTCCCATTCTCTCAGAGCTCATCCTTCTCACCACACCACACATACTTTGTTGTGCCTTTGGTGACATTGGTGGTATTTTTTGTAGCCATCAGTTCCAAACCAAAGCAGTGTCCTGGTTTAAGGCCACCACCTCCAGGAGATGGCAGGAGACAGTCCACCTTCCTCCTCTCCCAACACACTCCCCCATCCTTACATTCAGGCCCAACATCTCTACTTGTGAAGGTAAACAAATAAAAATCATTGATAAGTTAAAATTATTTATTTTTTAAATATTTTAATAATGTATTTCAGTGAATCACTTTCACTGAAGTGAGCGTGTTAGTGTGTGTGTGTTGTCTGGCCGCATGGTTAGGTAGTCTGCAGCACACTGACCCCAGACGACTTTAAGTACCTTAACTAAGTTATAAAGTTAAATAATTTCATAAAATAAGGTGTAATCAAATGTTTAACAAGTGTTTGAGTTACTATATATATAAATGTTAAAAGATATCAAATTAAACTTTTTGAGTGTCATGTGATGGTCCCTATTAGACTCTATTCCTATTAAGTCTTATGGGAATTAGTTCCCCTTTATCCATGAAGTCACTGTTCGAGTCTTTTTTCTGGTCCCAGTTAAGCTGTGATAACGAGGCTCCCTGTACAGAGTGTTTCACCCGAGGCCAACGTGAATTACTGTTTTATTTGATCTGTTTGTATCATCTCATACTGGTCTTTCATTGGTGTTGTTCCTGGAGGTTCCTTGAGATATTTGAAGATTTGGTATTTTAACAAAACTGAAGCAAGAAAACTGTAACTACGAACACTGGTCTGCTTACACACACACACACACACACTATTAAATCTTTCCACTATATTCTCTCTCCCCCATCTGATCATCTCTTATAACTCACTTCTCTTTTGTTTCAGTCTGTTCCACACCTCAGCCATCCATGTATACTGTGAACCTGGTCAAACACTGTATGTACCACACCTTATATCATCACCACCACCACCATCTATTCCTCTAGCCATCAGCATCACTTTGTCTGACAATCTTTTATTTTCTCCATTATCCCGACTCCATTTCTTTTTCAACCTTATACTCCCCATTATATATCAACCGTCGGCCAGTGGACATTTATATCAAGTCTTTGTACATTTTCAGTTATTCTTTGCTCGGTATTTCCCACATTTCTATTTTCTTATTCTCGGACATTCGTGACTTTCCTTGTGTCTGTCTTTTGTTACTCTGCTCACCTCTCTCCTGTCCCTCGACCTATTCTGCACACAACAAATAATGTACGTCCATATTTTGTTTTGTTTTCTTATTTTTTCTTCAATATCTCTCTCCTATTCTCTGTCATTACATCCAAACACATTTAATCACTTGTGTATGGGGTCCCGTCTCTGCTGAATAAGATCATGTAGCGTCAGCCAAATAAAATATTAAACCATATAGTGAAGGAGTTAAATATCCTGTAAGCTGCTTTGGTTTTCTTTTAATAACGACATAAGAAGGTGGGGGTCAGTGTGCTCGCTGCTGCTCACCCAACAGAGGGGAAGTTGTGGGAGTACTGTACTGCACCTATAATAAGGGACATTTTCCAGGGACCTTTAGAAGATGTTAAGAGGATCAGTGGAGTATTGTGTTGATGGTCGTGTAGGATGGATACTGTCGTCTTAGTGATGAACTAAGTGTTCAGGCTGAGGCACACTAAATAGACATTATATATTTAAACTTTATATCCTGTTTGTGAGGGAATCTTTTGGTTCGCAGAGTTACACAAAGATAATCTCTTCTGTGGCTAAACAGTTAATCCCAGAGTTTATATAAGGGACTGTTTATGGCCGAGACCCACCAGTGTGATGATGACAGTTCCTGCAGGCTGTACAACAGGAGGGAGGGATAGAGTGGATTCTTTTAGCTTTGGTCACTTGGGGAACTGGTTAGGTTACATTAGGTCAGGTTGCATTAGGTTAGGTCAGGTTATGTTAGGTTAGGTTATTTTACATTGGGTTAGGTTAGGTCAGGTTATGTTAGGTTAGGTTATTTTACATTGGGTTAGGTTAGGTTATATATCTAAATACAGGGATGAGCGAAACTAAAACTCTACCTTTAATCATGGAATAATTTGTGACATTTTACATAAATTGTATGAAAATAAAGTTGATATGATTGTTGTATTTTGTTTATGTCTAAATGATGTCATCACAGTTTCTATGTAGAGTAGATGTGACGATTAAGGCGGCACTGCAGAGGTTAGGTTGGGTTCAGACTGGTTTGGTCTTGGTTGGTCCTGAGGTTTTGATCTTGGTTAGTCTTAAAGCTTTTGGTTGGTTGGTTTTGAAGCTTTGGTCTTGGTTGGTATTCAAGCTTTTATCTTGGTTGGTCCTAAAGCTTTGGGCCGGATGGTATGGAAGGTCTAGGCTGGAGTGTGTAGTTGTCGAAGCTCTGGGTCAGGTGACTTATGTCATATTGAAGCTTTGGAGTCACAATGAAGGTCGGTGTGTCATATTGAAGCTTTGGAGTCAATGAAGGTCGGTGTGTCATATTGAAGCTTTGGAGTCAATGAAGGTCAGTGTGTCATATTGAAGCTTTGGAGTCAATGAAGGTCGGTGTGTCATATTGAAGCTTTGGAGTCAATGAAGGTCGGTGTGTCATATTGAAACTATAATTGAACATCAACAATAGGTATTATGTACGAGGTGTTGAGTGATGATGGAAAACATTGACCAATGATAATTTTTTTTAATATTTAAGAGTTTTTCTCCTTCTGTAATTAATGATTTAGTGTAATTAGACTTTATACACAGTGTCTTCCTTTACACACACCGACGCAGGCAGTCAGGTC